TACGTACCAACTCGGTGCACACCCCGAGCCCCAAACATCCTTTTGGCTGCATGGACGAGTTTTTTCATCCCAATTCAAGGACTAGCTACACAAATTCATTCAATACCAAGGTTGTCAAACCGATTTATGCCAGTGTGCCGATTTAGCAAGTGGAATGGTTCGACCGGTGGCACATACCGGTTTGTGCCGGTTCATGCCGGCCAATATTACAAATAAAATTATAAATACTCATATTTAAACATGACATTTGACGCCAATACCTAAACATTTATACTTGAATCCAACAAATAACATAAATATTTAACTTTTATACTCATAAAATAAATAATAAAATAATGTTTATCAATTAAATTCGCTAAAATAAGGTCATTTTACTTAGAGATTCGTATATTGATCATGCCGGCAGGGGCGGAGCTACATTGGTGCTCGGAAGGCCCCCCCCCCAGAATTTTGAAGATCGTATGTACATGTGTCGAGAATTTTGGAAAAAATGAATAATTTAAAGGTTTTAATAAATTTATTAGTGTGCAAACTACTGACACGGAAAGTGCTAGTCGTCTAGTGAATTAGTTGCTAAATTATTGTTCCATAAACCTAGGTTCGATCCTCAAGAACCACTGCATTTTTTTTGCTTTTTAGTTTAATAACTGCTCAAATTTTTTAATTCCCCATAAAAGCTACTTCCATTTTGTCTCCTCTTTGTAATTTATTAGTGTTCAACATTAAGTTGTAAATTGTAATAACAATGATTAACATATTGTACTAAAAATTTTAGTTCATAACATATTTTTAGGTTTTAATGATCTCAAATATATTTTTGGCATCCTTTCATTATATATTTTTTTATTTTCCTGATTTCTGATGATATACGGGGGAAAAAATTTGTTGGCCCCCCCGACTCGCGAATCCTAGCTCCGCCCCTGCATGCCGGTCATACTGGATGGTGTCACGCCGATCTTATGACCGGTATCGGTTGAACCTGGTACAACCGGTGGCACGCCGGCCGGTGTGACAACCATGTTCAATACGAAATATTGCCTTTTACGTACGTACACGACACATGCAAAACAGCAAAAGCCAGGACGTTCATCAGTTGTGGAAAATGGCGACGGAATTATGGGCAACATTCATCCAACCAACCCATGTCGTACCCACGAAACAGAAACTGAAATGACCAAACACATCTCATGGGATCCATGGAAAGCACACTTTGTAATTGGTGGCGCTCACGTCTTATCTTCAACGACGGCCGTTGGCTGCTTCTGCCACTATGGCCGCAGGATTTAGGATTACCTATACGGTTCGGTTCGGTCCAGTTAAATTGGCTCGAATTGATCTTATTACGATTTGATTTTTTTTGGCAATACAAGGACCAAAGATTAGATTGGGTACAATTTGATCTTGATCTGGTCCAATTCGGTCTTGATTTTAGATTGAGTTTGTGGGGATTTGAGTGGCCTGAGGTCTAAAAGGGTGAGGAGTTGGTTAAATTTTGGGTGTCGGACTCTTTTATCCGGTCTTTATCTGATTTTCGGTCCGATCCCGGACGGGTTGTTTTTACCTCAAATCTAAGCTCAAAAATGGGATTGGATTGTTTGCTATCCGGTCCCGATCCGATCTCAATCCATATTATAAGGTCCGATTTCGAGTAAAACCAAATAACCATCCCTAACCGGATTATTACCGACTCCATTACGTATTTGGCAGTGTTATGTCGAAGGAAAATTCTGAATTATAAACAATGAAGCATGGAGCCAGGCAGTGTCAGTGACTGAAGCGTAAAACCAGCTGTGGAGTGGGTGGCGCCTAGCGGCGGATTAATTGCTTCTTAATTAAGTGGTTTATTGTAGTTTTTTTTACAAAGATTTTTTTTTTTGTAGTTAATTAATGTCACATTTGAATTTGACACTATCACATCTATAGGTGTCAAAACATAGCCCGACCCGATTAACCCGCCCGATCAACCCGACTCGCAATTCGACCGCAACCCGAATTGACTAAAAGTCAACAACCCGTAACCCGCCCGACCCACAACCCGATTGACCCGCAACCCGATTGACCCGCAACCCAACTAATCCGCAACCCGACTGACCCGCAACCCGATTAACCCGAACCCGATTGACCCGCAACCCGATTAACCCGAACCCGACTAACCCGTAACCCGACCGACTCAACCCGAATTTCATCTAATCCACTTGAATAATTATAAAAATATACAATACATAGTTTTTCAAAATAAAGTTTTTTATTCTAAACTTAAGTAAAATTATTTTTAAATTTCGTATAAGAAATTTAAAAAATATGAAACTCACTTGATATTACGTATTTTAAGAAAATTACCAAAATTGAAACATGAAGGTCACTTGAGATAATGACAATATTAATATAATATATAAATTAAAATTTTGGTTAATTTAACTATTCAATAAAATTATCAATTAAATATAAATAAAGTAAAGTAATTTATTTGGTAATTTGATGTTTTTAAAAGAAGAGGGAAATTTTGTTGTATTCAAGTTTTTGGGTAGAGAAAGAAGAGGGAAATTTGGTTTTTTGAATTTTTTTAGAAAAGAAACAAGTGGGAATTTTGGTGGTTATGAAAGAGAAATAAGGAGGGAAACTTTGACTTTTCAACTTTTTTAGAAAGAAAGAACAGGATAATTTGGTTCTTTCAATTTTATGGAAGAGAAAGAGGAGGGAAAATTGAGTTTTTCAATTTTAGTGTAATAATATGCGTAAGTTGGTAATGAGTAATGAGTTAAGTTACTTGATGCGCTGGCCCGAACAACCCGAAACCCGACCCGCCCGCAACCCGCCCGACCCAAAACCCGATGAACCCGCAATCCGATTTGCCCGCAACCCGATTGAACCCGAACCCGATGAACCCGCAACCCGACTAACCCGCAACCCGTTTGAAGTTTGAACCCGAACCCGATTGAACCCAGCCCGAACCCGCCCGATGGACACCTATCACATCATAAGCTCTCCACTTGATAGCTAGGCCTAGCCGCCTAGGTATTCTTATGAACCACCAACCTTTGACTATGATTTCCTTCTTTCTTAGATTAAGATTTGAGTCTAAATCAATCCTTAATTAGTATAAACTAATTACACAGATAGTCCGTACTTTTTCAAAATCCTCAACTCGCATGAAGTAGGTGAAATTCAAATTTTTGAAATTTGAAATGCACCACTTATACGTTGCAGGCGAAATGATATACGATTCTATTTTGCGTCTTTGTTAACAACTCAAATTATTAGTACCAATTAGCTCTTGACATCAAATTATAGAGACTCTTTGATTCTTGATAACATAATATTAGAATCTTTGTCTGAGTGATCACATGTTCGATTCCTCATGACTCGTATCATTTGATTATACATATATTCTTCTTTATGACATTTTATTTTGAAAACCGCACTATACATTTTGCGTATTCGAGTACTTGAGTGATTCTTTCAAGGCAATCATTCCATGGAAACAATTTGATTGTAGTAGACCATCATTCCCAAAAGTTCTAAACGTAATCTTCCCAACGGGCAGTGTGGCACAACACAATTATGTCCTACCAATCTTCGCATGAGTTGTCCCTAATTATGCCCCTTCCAAAAAACCCATCAGTCTTTTCCTATTCCTTTTTCTCTAATTATAACCCTTTAGAGATATATACGCCCAAGCGGCAAATTATTCAAAAGAGAACTTTATAAGCTTGTGCTTGCTTACGTATTATAGTTAGGGCGGTTAATGAACCAACTCGTTAATAAACGGCTTGACGTTCGACTCGAGAAAAACTCATTCTACACTTAATTCGTTTTAATCGAGTCGGCTCGCGAACAAGCACGTTAACTAAACGAGTCGAACTCGAGTCATACTATGTTCAGCTCAAAAGCTCGCGAACAAGCTCATTTAATAGATTGGCATTAGAAAGTATTAGAATTCTTGGATTTTATGTATTAAAATTGGGATAAATATTGTGTTTTATTTTGCTAGACTTTGCTACAAGTTTGAATGTAATTTTGTGCTCATTTCTAGGTCAATCGTGAGTTATCATGAACTTTTTATGAGTTGAACTCGATTTTGGGCTCGTTAACCTTATTGACGAGCCGAATTCGAGCTTTTATTTTCATAAATGAGCCGAGCTCGAGCTTGCAAATATATTAACGAGCCGAGTCCGAGCTATTGCAAATCTCGACTCTGCTCGACTCATTATAAGCTTGCCGTAATTGACGATGGATGTGATTGGGCAATATACATATACATGGCCAATTCATGCGTCTGCGAAAGATGAGACCTAGCTAAGGAACGACCCTTTCCACTCATTCCATGTTTGGGGGCTGTTGTTGGTCCATCGGATGGGTAATCAAAATATACAAATTTGGGTAAATATGACAAAGTTGATGTCACGATGCAAGCGATTTAGGAGACCTAAGTAACGGTGGCACACACCGTGTGATTCTTAAGAATGTACAGTAATGATAGAGAGTGTTAGGCGTCTGACCAACACATCAGTATTAGGCAAGAATGATCGTTCTATTTGGTACATGCATCTCACAATACTAGGGGCGTGGATATAGAGGAAGTTACAGGAAGATAAGAAGTTGGTTAATAAGATTTTAATTACGAGAAAATGTTGGCGATCCATCATAAAGCGCGTAAGAGAACACATTATTAGGAATTAGAGGGCAGAACGGGGCACAAATTAAGCACTATCCACTCCAAAACTTGACTCGTCCATTCAATGAAAGTTTGAGACCCATTGCCATTACTGTTACCATTAACAAATCACAAATCCAGAAGTACTTGGTGTGCAGTCTCGTAATAATTAATTTGTATTCTTTAGTGGTTAGTTTACTAATAATTAACAATTAGATTTGCTAATACAACATTTTATTTTAATTAATTAATTATCAGACAACACGCTTTAGTCTTTTCTTATCTTTCTCTGTTTAGTTTCTTTTTTCCTAAAAAAAGACTGCTTTATCTTCCAGGCACTGTCACTCTCCAGTCTCCCCCCTCTCTCTCTCTCACTCAGTCTCTTTACTCGTTACCTTCTCAGTTAGCTCTGTTTTCTGCTCAAGCACCAGCATTCATTCCTCCATTTTCCCACTGACCCCCCTGATCACTCGCCACCGCCTCTCCTAGCGGCGGAAATCCGCTGAAGAAATGGAGCGAAAACAAGGGTTTTTCTCTGCTTTGAAAGGGGAAGTCATCAGAGGACTTTCGCCGAGCAGGTCGCGTGCAAAGAGCCCCGCCAGGAGTGCGTCGCCAATGTCGAGTCTCTTGCGTCGGAGGAAGGGCCACGGACAACGCGTCTCGCAGCCGGAGCCGCTGATGATCGCGAGATCGGGGAGTTTACGCCCCCCGGAGGCTCTTTCGCCTTTGATGGAAGGGCCGGATCAAGACGGCGTTGGAGATTCCAGCAGGGGGGAAGGTCGGTGGGGTCGCCAGTGGATGAAAGGTCCACTCGCCAGAGCGCCGTCGGCAGCGTCGTCGGCGGCGGATGGTTGCAAAAGGGCTGATCTGAGATTGCTTCTCGGCGTGTTGGGTGCTCCTTTGGCTCCCGTTCATGTTAGCAGTTCCGAGCCGTTGCCTCACCTAAGCATAAAGGACACTCCAATTGTTAGTCTCCTTTCCCCCTCTTCGATTCCCATTTTACCGATTCTCGTTCTGCAATTCGTTGTGAATCAAGTGTACTTTCCCCAATTTGCCTAAAGTTGCCTCTGCCTTCTGCATTCATCTGACTGGGGTTGGTTGAGCCATATTAATGGAATGATGAGCGACCCACAATCTTTAATTCCTGTCTTGTCAATGTTTTGTAGGCTTCTTCAATTAGGGTAAACAGTAAAATGGGTTTGTTGGTATGGACTCTTGACATGATATTTCATTGTTAACAATAGCTTTAAGAGTTAGAGAGTAAAGATCCCCTTTGTTCTGTTGTTATGTTCTAGTGCATGTTGTCATCGCTCTGATGGATCCCTTCTGTTTGTTTGTATTCCAGCATGCTTATGACCATGGCTGCTAGTCTTTCTACATTCTGATGGCTTCAATTGGTAGCTGGTTTTTGTTAGGTAGGAAAAATTGGAGGGGTTCTCTTTCTGGAAAATAAAAAATGGAGCTTTAAATGGTCCCCAAAAAGCTGTTGTTTTGCATAGTTGAAGAAGACAATGATCTGAGTTATCCCTTTGAGTCTTGAATAGTTTGATCATCTGGGTTTGGATTTTTTTCCATTGTCCAATGTTGAAATTTCTTTCTTTTCCCAAGACTGAAGTGTGACTCTTGTCTGATTGTAAATACAGGAAACCTCCTCCGCACAGTACATATTGCAGCAGTACACGGCTGCCTCGGGAGGACAGAGGCTTCAAGGTTCCATCCACAATGCTTATGCTATGGGAAAAGTGAGGATGATTGCTTCAGATTTTGAGACAGCCAACAAGGTGACCAAGAATAGGGGCTCTTCTAAAACTGCTGAATCTGGTGGGTTTGTCCTGTGGCAAATGAATCCCGACATGTGGTATGTGGAGCTAGCACTTGGTGGAAGTAAAGTTCATGCCGGTTGCAATGGGAAGCTTGTCTGGAGGCACACACCCTGGCTCGGTCCACATGCTGCGAAAGGCCCTGTAAGACCCTTGCGCCGCGCATTACAGGTAAGGGGAAATGGCAGCTTCCCTTTCATTGATCACGAATTCACGATTGCTGAACTTGCAAAGCTCAGGTCTGATAGTAGTGAATGATTTCGAATCGATTTTCTTACACAGGGTCTCGACCCAAGAACAACAGCGAGCATGTTCACCAATTCGAGATGCATCGGAGAAAAGAAGATCAACGATGATGACTGCTTCATCCTCAAGATATGTGCTGATCCTGCAACTCTCAAGGCTAGAAGTGAAGGACCGGCAGAGATAATTAGGCATGTTCTCTTTGGCTACTTCAGCCAGAAAACGGGCCTCCTTGTTCACCTGGAAGACTCCCACTTGACTCGAATCCAGAACAATGGCGGTGATGCTGTCTACTGGGAGACCACAATCAACTCCTTCCTCGACGATTACAGACCAGTGGACGGAGTCATGATCGCTCATTCGGGTCGTTCGGTTGTAACCCTCTTCAGGTTTGGAGATACAGCAATGAGTCACACCCGGACCCGAATGGAAGAAGCTTGGGTAATCGAGGAAGTAGCCTTCAACGTACCTGGACTGTCGATGGACTGTTTTATCCCTCCTGCTGAGTTGAGATTTGCTTCCGTAAGTGAAACCTGCGAGCTTCCTCATACTCAGAGGGTGGTAAAACCTGCCATGGCTCCTGCAGGCTATCAGACCAGAGTTGCTGCACTGGAGAGAGATCAAGAAGGTGGTACCGAGAACAATGTTCGGTGGACAATGGATGATTAGGGAAGAAGGGAAAAGTTCTAGTAGTGGCTTAACAGATTAGTAGGACGGCAAAGCAGAAGAATGTAGGGGGCTTTAGCTGGTTTCTGGAAGTTTTGGGCGTTGGACCAAAATGTCTCTTTTGAATTTGTAGATAGATTAGAGCCTAGAGTCGGTCATCAATCTTCATACAACAAATGTCAAAAGTTCCATGTCTGTAGGCCAAATAGTCCATTTGTGTATCTTTGTTCCATCTAGAGCTTGTGCATTCATCTCTTGAAGAAGATGCTAACAATAACAGATCAAAGCTTTGATTCCGAACTCAACAGGTAGCCACTAGCCAATAAAGTTCTGCATTCGTCAACATGTTTTGCAGAAGTCGAACCATGTTTCTGGGTTTATTGGTTCATACCGGTTTGAATCGATTCTAGATCGGAGAGAACCAGTAGACATTCTTGGGTGTTGCGAGTGGAAATGGGATGGTGAGAAATAAATAGTTTGATGGGTATCTCCGGATACGGAAGCATGGGAAGTTATTGAGACGGAATGGGAGGGAAGAAACTGAGCTTTCTGAATGGGCGTGACGTTAAGAAGATGGGATGGATCCTTGCCATAAGGCATAAATACGAATGCAAACAAGTTATGTAGGTGGGGAGGTTTGAGACTTTTTTTTTTAATACGTTTAAGGAGATTACAGATTATAAGTAGACTGTGACTTCCACTTGAAGTGAATAATGAATAATTCGATTCAAATGCTAAAACTAATATAGTCTAGTGGTGAAACCACTGGACCAATTGAGCTATGGATTTGGGAGGTGCTGAGTTCGATTCCTAGTGGCGTCACTTGAGCGTTCCCGGCGGCACCCTTGGTATCGGATGCTTACCGATGTTGGTAGCAGAAAGCCCCGGTTAGTATGCAGGTATCCCCAGTGGTTTTTGCCGTGATTTACTACAATTTTCTATTTTTTTAAACATAAAAACTAGCAAAGTAAAAGTAATTCGACAGCCACAAAAATTTCGTAGCCTTATCTCTCCACTCCATCTCCTCCGTGGAAACTCTTACAGGCCCCAACCTTGCTCCAACGGATCTCATCGCCATCACCAGAAAAGTCTGTCAATACTTTGAGATCGTTGGCAAGGAGCTACCATTTATGAACGCGGACTAGCCTAATCTTCCAGGAAACTATTATCCCAAGACTAGTGCCGCCGCCGCCATTAACCACCAAAACATATCCTCCCCATCTCGATCCAAAACCCTCCGATCTACATCAACACTGACCAAGTCCACAAATTATCGATCGACAACCAGTGTTTCAGCATCAAGTTGCCGTACCCAACTTCAGTTAAAAACCAGTCAACGTCGACGGTGGGCAAACCCCACTTGGGTACCCATGGGTCTGGCGCTCAAGGAGAAAGGAAGAGCATCATCTATTCTGCTTGAACATTCATCCATCCGAGAAAATCGCGAACTTAAAAACAAAATCCGCGCTCTGTAGAAATAAAATTCGCGTTTTTTGGCTTTTGCTTTAAAATCCGCGTTTCGCCGCTCCGGAGCGGGAGCTTGGGGGTGGAGATGGCGAATCATGTGACCTAAGGCCCTGTAAGCAAGTTCGCTGCAAACTGACAGCTTTATTCATTGATTGAGATCAAACTTTATACATGAGACTCTCAACTGAATATCCCTAAACTTGGGTTCTCTCAAACGACTATCAATCTCAATCCCTTAGGAGTAGCTATGATCAACCAATCTGAAACTAACCCTGCAACGGCTAACTGACTGCCACTAACATAATGCAAACAATAAGGACTAAACTGAAACAAACCAAAATGACACAGTTCCAACTTAAACAAACGACAGAGGCAGTTGAGACAGCTTTTCCTTCTCCAGTTCGGATTCGGATTCAGCAAGACAGAATCTTCAACAGCCTCCCCTGAACTGAAGCATATCCGAAACCAGCTTCAGTTCATCAATCTTCAGTCTTCAATTCATCACCATCGATCATACCAAGCCTGCTGCGCAGCAACTGGAAGGTTTCTAACTTCAGTGGCTTTGTCATTATATCTGCTATTTGTTCTCCAGTCCTGCAATGCTCTAACTCAATCACTCCATTCCTAGCCAGCTCCCTTAAGAAATGAAAGCGCACATCTATGTGCTTGCTTCGTCCATGCATAACAGGATTTTTAGAAAGCTTAATAGCTGAGCTATTGTCACACATGATCTTAGTTGTTCCTGCTACACATTCCAGCCACCCCATCTGATTTTTGATCCTCTTGAGCCAAACACATTGAGCTGCACAGAAAGCTGCAGCTACAAACTCTGCCTCGGTTGTTGAAAGAGTGACAACATCTGCTTCTTCGAACTCCATGAGATTGCACCTCCTGCAAGGAAGAAGGTGTAACCACTGGTGCTTTTCCTGTCATCTAGATCACCAGCATAGTCGTTGTCAGTATATCCCAACAGCCAATCTCCCTCTTCTTGTCTTCTGTACAGAATTCCCAGCTTCAGTGTGCCTTTTAGATACCTCGGCACTCTTTTTGCCGCCAACATATGTTTCCTTGTAGGCTTGTCCATGTACCTGCTTAACATACAAACTGCATACATGATATCTGGTCTTGTAGCTGTTGCATATAACAGGCTTCCAATGAGCTGTTTGTATTCAGTTGCATTAGCCACAATTCCATCACCAGCCTTCGAGAGTTTAGCTCCTGGAGCCATAGGATTATGCACATAGTTGCATTCTGCTAGATGAAATCTTTCCAACAGTTCACTGACATATTTTTGCTGAGAAATAAATATACCAGAATCAGACTGAGTTACCTCTACTCCCAGAAAGAACTTCATCCTTCCCAGATCTGTCATTTCAAATTCTGCTTCCATGGACTCTTTAAACTCACTCAATAACTCAGAACTGGTGTTGGCATAGATTAGATCATCAACATACACACTGACCATTAGCACCTCCCCTTTCCTTTTCTTCACAAAAAGAGTGTGTTCAAACTCACATCTTTCAAAACCAGTGTTGAGAAAGTGAGCTTCAACCCTACTGAACCATGCTCGAGGGGCCTGTTTTAGGCCATACAAGGCCTTCTGCAGCTTGTACACCTTTCCTTCTTCTCCAGGGATCTCAAAACCTTGTGGCTGTTCAATATAGACTTCTTCTGTGAGTTCTCCCTGCAAGAAAGCACTCTTGACATCTAACTGATAAACAGTCAGATTGAACTGTGCAGCAAGAGCTAAAAATGTTCTGATGGTGTCCCATCGTGCCACTGGTGCAAATACTTCATCATAATCCACTCCATGTCGTTGAGCATAGCCTTTTACCACTAATCTGGCTTTAAATTTGTCTATGGTCCCATCTTCCTTCAGCTTAGTTCTGTATACCCATTGTACTCCAATTGGAGTTACTCCTGCTGGTCTGGCAACTAGAGTCCATGTGAGATTTCTTTTGATTGCATCAATCTCCTGTTCCATAGCCTTCCTTCACTTTTCTTCAAGCACAGCTTCTTCAAACGTGGTAGGATCTCCACTGACAGCAGCTAGAGCCCACCAATCAGTCTCAGCAAATGTCAGGTTAGGCATTCCATGACAGTCAAATTCATCAAAATGTCGTGGAAACTTGCGAGTTCTGGGTCCTAGTTCACTGCCAACTGGAAGCCCCAGAACATCAGTCATGTTCTCCTCTTCTTCCTCTCCTTCTGGTTCTGCAGCTGGTGTGATTGGTTCTGATGTTTCAGAACTTGACTGAACTGGAGTGCTTTCAGTTTCTCCTTCAGTGGTGGTTTCTGCTTCCTCTTCAGTATCACCAGTCTCCTCTTCAGTGACATCTTGTCCATCATTATCCTCTCCCTCTTCTTCTTCTTCTGAATCATGCCAAGCTTCTTCTCCTCCTTCCCATACCAGCTTGATTAAGGCAGGTTCTGTCTCAGATTCCCAAATCCACCCTTCCTTTTCATTAAAGATCACATCTCGGCTAATGATGATCTTCTTTGTTTCTGGATTGAAAAGCTTGTAGGCTTTGGATTCCTTTGACATCCCTAGGAAGTTACACTTGATACTTTTATCATCCAGCTTTTTCCTCAAACTGTCATGCACATGAACATAGGCTACACAGCCAAAAACCTTGAAATGATAAACTGAAGGGGGTTTTCCAGTCCACCTTTCTTGTGGTGTTTTACCTTCATTGGCTACAGTTGGACTCCTATTAAGAATGTGAGTAGCCCAATCTACAGCCTCAGGCCAGAAGGTTGAAGGAACCTTAGTGTCCTCCAGTGAGCATCTAACCATGTTCATGACAGTCATGTTCTTCCTTTCAGCAACTCCATTTTGCTGAGGGGTGAGAGCAGCTGTCAACTGCCTTCTGATGCCTGCTTCTTCACATAAATCTCGAAACTCATGTAGCAGAAACTCTCCTCCCCTATCAGTTCTAAGACAAGCAATCTTTCTCCCAGTTTCATTCTCTACTTGTGCTTTGAACCTTTTGAAACAAGCTAGGGCTTCTGATTTTGCAGATAGGAAGTAAATCCATAGCTTTCTACTGAAATCATCAGTAAGGGTCATGATGTACCTTTTCCCTCCATTGGATGCAGGAGTAATAGGACCACATAAGTCAGCATGCAGAAGTTGAAGTGGCTTTATGGCTCTCCAAGCTCCTTTCTTTGGAAACTTGGTTCTGCATTGTTTACCAATCATACAGGTTCCACAAACTCCAATCTCCCCAGTCAGCTTTGGAAGTCCTTGCACCAATCTTTTCTGTTGCAACCTTAGCAGGTTGGCTTTGCTGAGATGACCAAAACGTCTGTGCCACAGGTGCAGTGTGTCGTGCTGGTCAGCATCAGTTTGAAAGCAGTGATTTCCTTCTTCAGTATGATGCCTGGCTTGTAGAACAAACATCCTGTTGGATTTCATGGATGTTTCTAGCAGCAGACCATGCTTCTCATGATAGATCCTGCAGCTTCCATTCTTGATTGTGAATTCAAGATTCTTCTCCTACATCTGTCCCACACTTAGAAGATTTGACTTTAAGCTGGGCACATAGAACACATTCTGAAACACCAGAGGAACTTTATCAACTGTCATCTTCACAGATCCTTTCCCTTGCACATCCAGTTTGCTTCCATTGCCCAGTTTGACATCACTTTTGAAACTGGTGTCAAGTTTAATAAACCAGCTCTTGTCTCCACACATATGATTGCTGCAGCCACTGTCAAGGAACCACCAGTCACCATTCTTCTTCGTGATTTCTCCATTGGGACCCTTTTCCTCTGAGTAAGAAATCAACAAAACATCATCTTTAATGTCATTTGGACCCTAGCTCGAATAATGAGCTTGCCATTCAGAGCATTCTCAACTAAAGTGTCCCATCCTGTGACACTTAAAACACTCAGTCTGATCCCTATTCCAGCTTCTTCCACGTCCTCTTCCTCCTCTGCCTTGATATCCAGTTCTTCCTCCTCTTCCTCTACCACCACCAAACACTTGAAGAGCTTGCTCTTCACCATATGAGGATTTTACAAACTTCTGCTCATGCACAAGTAGAGAGCTTTGCAGAGCATCCACAGACATTTCAGCAAAGTCCTTTGATTCTTCAATTGAACACACAATGTAGTTGAATTTTTCAGTCAAGGTTCTAAGTACCTTCTCAACAATCTTGGAATCATTCATGTCTTCCCCACAGTTCCTCATTGAATTCGCGATGACCATTACCCTTCTAAAATAGCTGGTCACTGTTTCTCCATCCTTCATTTGAAGCAGCTCAAAGTTCCTTCTAAGCCCTTGCAGATTGGCCTTTTGAACACGCTCGTTTCCTTGATATCGAATCTTCATAGAATCCCACAACTGCTTGGAGGTTGCCTTCTGAGTGATTGTCTTGAGAATGCTCTTGTCGATAGAGCTAAAGAGGAAGTTCTTAGCATTCAAATCCTTCAGTCGTGTTGCCTCCAGCATCTTTGTCTGTGCTTCAGTTAGCTCAGAATCTTCATCAGCTTCTTTGAACTCCATAGTTCTTTGGATCTGAGCAGATTTTCCATCAGCATGCTCCAGTGATCATAATCCCCATCGAATTTGGGAAATCCCACTTGAGCAAAGCTATTGTCGCCACTCATTTTCTGCTTCCTTTTTATTTCACTCACCAATACTTGAAATCCTTACCTTCACTCGTGTTTCCCAAAACCCAGAAACTTTCGCGATTTCACACAGCTCACACTCTCAATTGAACACTCTCTGGTTACAGCCTGCAATTGCTCTAATACCACTATGTGAGCAAGTTCGCTGCAAACTGACAGCTTTATTCATTGATTGAGATCAAACTTTATACATGAGACTCTCAACTGAAAATCCCTAAACTTGGGTTCTCTCAAACGGCTATCAATCTCAATCCCTAAGGAGTAGCTATGATCAACCAATCTGAAACTAACCCTGCAACGGCTAACTGACTACCACTAACATAATGCAAACAATAAGGCCTAAACTGAAACAAACCAAAACAACACAGTTCCAACTTAAACAAACGACAGAGGCAGCTGAGACAGCTTTTCCTTCTCCGGTTCTGATTCGGATTCAGCAAGACAGAATCTTCAACAGGCCCTCCATGCACGGATGGAGACATTGGGGCCCAGCAAGGAGATATTTCCGGGGGTTGGCTGGGTGTTTGGGCCCATTGAGCGCACAACTTGCTGTAGTGGGACCAGCGACCGAGAAAGGTTCTCAAATCTCAGGTAGTGTTATTATTTATTGGTCCTTCTTTGCAAATCACCTGCCAAGTCCGCCTCAATTCAGGCCCATTAAATGCTTGCTAGCTTCGGCCGAAGTGTGCGAGCAAGGGAAGAGAGGTTTTCCTCTGTTTCCAATTATCACAGAGCGAATTAGATAATGCATGCAACAAGAAACAGGCTGTCCCTTTCAACTCATCCGTCAACCGCACAACGCATAGCAGTCGGTCCTCTGATGTGATTCAGAATTATTATTATGCTCCTAAAATGGAAAAAGACGAAGAACCCTCTTGAATCTCTGATTATTACTCATCTCTTTTCCCCATTTTCCAACTACTGGAGATGATAATTCAGATCAATCTCAGCTCACAGGGCAGAGGAAGAAGATAATTCAGCGGAGCATCAGCGCCACCGAATCGATATTACAGTTGCCGTGAAGCCTATAAACACCAAATTCCCTTTCTTCCCGCTTCCCCAATCCTCCATCCGAAAGAATGAGCTGGTGGTGGGCTGGCGCCATTGGAACCGCTAAGGTAATCTGTTGTGCTAACCTTTTTATTGATCTCAATTTCTTCAACCCAGTTCCGCTTTTTACCAGTTCGAAACTGGGTTCGCCTCCAATTTGGGTTTTTATCTTTTCCCTTGCAGAAGAAGCTCGATGAAGATGAGCCGCCGCGAAGCTACCAGAGCGTCGCCCTAGTGGTGGGTGTCACCGGAATCGTGGGCAACAGCTTGGCCGAGATCCTCCCGCTCGCCGACACTCCCGGTGGGCCATGGAAGGTCTACGGCGTAGCTCGCCGTCCTCGCCCCAATTGGAACTCCGACCACCCAATCGAGTACATCCAGTGCGACATCGCCGACGCCTCCGACGTCGATTCGAAGCTCTCCCCACTCTCCGACGTCACCCACATCTTCTACGTAACGTGGGCCAACCGCCCCACCGAGGCAGAGAACTGCGAGATCAATGGCAAGATGTTGAGGAACCTCCTCGCCGCCGTCGTTCCCAACGCGCCGAATCTCCAGCATATTTGCCTTCAGACCGGCGGGAAACACTACGCCGGATCCTTTGAATCGTTCGGCAAAATCGAACCCCACGACTCCCCTTTCACAGAAGATCTCCCGAGGTTGAATTCCCCCAATTTCTACTACACAATGGAAGACATCCTCTACGAAGAAGCCGGGAAAAGGGAAGGGTTGTCGTGGTCCGTACACCGGCCCAATATAATTTGGGGGTTTTCTCCCTACAGCATGATGAACGCGATTGGATCACTCTGCGTCTACGCCGCCATATGTAAGCACGAGGGTTTGCCTCTGATTTTCCCGGGGACGAAAGCTTCTTGGAACTGTTACTCGGATTCGTCGGATGCTGACCTGATCGCCGAGCATCAGATATGGGCGGCGGTGGATCCTTACGCCAAGAACGAGGCGTTTAACATAGTGAATGGGGATGTGTTCAAGTGGAAGCATTTGTGGAAGGTGTTGGCGGAGCAGTTTGGGATAGAGAATTATGGGTTTGAAGAGGATGCGGAGAAGAGAGTGAGCTTGGTGGAGATGATGAAGGATAAAGGGCCGGTTTGGGAAGAGATTGTGAAGCAGAATCAGCTCGAGCCGACGAGGTTGGAGGAAGTTGGGAATTGGTGGTTTGTGGATATGATATGTGGTGTGGAGGGTGTTCTTGCGAGCATGAACAAGAGCAAGGAGCATGGGTTCTTGGGGTTCAGGAATTCAAAGAGCTCGTTCATTTCCTGGATTGATAAAATGAAGGGTTACAAGATTGTGCCCTGAACCAACTTGCAGGTTCTCGTGATGGCTTTTGATCGAGCTTGGAATGTATTGTTGTTTGTACTCTGTTTGATACCTGGAGGTTTTCTTTCTGTTTCACTTATCTTGATCCCTAGTTTCTAAATAAGAAATTTCTGTTTGTAAAAACATTCTATCTATTTGTTAATTCAAAGCTTGGGGATTGATTGATAAACAGTGATTCACAAACAATATGGCTTTCAATTGATTGAGATGAGAAGTGCATTGCGAACATCAGGAATATGACGGTTCTCAGTTCACTTCTGCCTTACTGATAACATAAGAACACCTGCACTATCTCCATTCACACTCGATAACTTGGAACTAGGGTTACAGTACAATGTGAAGAAGCTATTTGGAGGTTCTAACTTGACGTGTGCTTTTGAAGTTGCTTGCTGCTAGGGGCATTAGCATTACTCTTGCTCTTGCTGGTCTTGCTATTGCTTGGTTCGTCTTTCTTCCCAAACTCTACGCCGTGGAAAGTGAGTCTGGATGATCTGTAGTGACTACCAAAGGCACTGCCAAAGCCCCATCCAAGTCCTAGCCCAACTCCACATCCTCCTCCTGTCGAAGGACAAAAAGAACTTCAGCTAAAAGGCTTGAATGAAGTACTCTTACAGCCAGCACAACGAGATAAACGTACAAAAGAATGAAACAATCACGTTGTGTTTACCTGCACCAAGGCCCAAAATATTCAGTGGCATTCCTGTGAAGAAACATGACAGACATTGAAGATTAGGAAATGAGATGCTGGCTTTCGGTCTACGACGAAAGAGAAGTAAGTTGCAGTAACACTGTAACAGATAGGAAGATGCAAATGATGGGACAAAGATGAGTATCATCGCTCTCCATCAACTGATATTAGGCAAAGAAATATATACGCTGAATACCACAACAAACACTGATATCTCCAAATTCCTATGCATTCAATAGATCACTATAAAAGGCAAGATCTTCGCAAGCCATTCCCCTAATCATGATCCGCCCTTCACCTAGTCGGCAAAGCTCAACTCGAAGTGATACTCAAACTTGCAATAACTCGTGGCATGGGTAGAACAGCTTACGGAACCAATAACTGCAAGTCTAGAACAACAACAAGCTCAACTGTTCTTCTAGTTGCTACTCCATTCTTTTTTACTCAGCATTCAGCAAGATGGATTCGTAAAGAAGGGTCGATGGGTAAGTGGTAGATACAACGTAATTCAGACCCAAAAACCCATCAATGACTGGAATCAACTTCTTCCCCAAGCTCATACAAAAGGAATTATGTCAGTCAGCTTCGAAGTTCAAACACATCCAGCTACCGAAGAACGAGGAGAGGTGAATTTCAAAAGGGTGGTAAGGGGGAAACTGACCGCCAAAACCCCATCCAACGCCGAAGCCACAACCAACTCCAAACCCTGAAGAAGAGACGCAGAGTTAGAAACTTTCTTTTAGGCAATTAACACAGGAAGCGAAGACGAAAGAACGACGCAATTGAAGAGAAATCATTTCTATGCGGCAGAGAGAATCGGCGGTACCAAATCCCACGCCGACGCCATCGAAATTGGTAAGCACCATCGAGTCGGTCTCGCTTTATTGGAACTGGGACGCGAGGAGGGGCTTCACCTCTGAATTCGGGTTCAGGATCGAAGTTTTGTGAAGCTCACTTCCAGCCAAGCCACGAGAAGAGAACTGGAGAAATTGAGAAGAGACGACTGACGAGTACACGACGGGGATGATTTGTTTGTTAAATTTTAGTGGGAATTGGGCCTCGTGGCCCGTTAAGCGATAGATTCTGGGATGGGTTATCTCATTGATCAGGAAACGAGTGGGCCCATTTAGTAATAGAATGATGCCAAAATAATGTTGGGTCTCATTACCCCGTATGGCCCTATCTATGTGTATGAGCTCTTGTACTGTGATTGTGTAATCATGGTCGTTGAGGCTTAAGTTGTCTGGAAGTAGAGCTGGCAATCTTGATCCAATTCATTAGTCCAATCCAATCCAATTCATTTAAATTGATCCAAATCCATTTAGTCCATGGATAAATGAATTCATGGATATCCACTAAAGCACTAACCTAAACTGTACTCAAAAATCAAAACAAAACAAGAGCCAGAGCCCTGAAGCAGTAGGAGCCGTGGTGGGCAGGGAGTGATTCCGGCGAGCTGCTGTCGGCCTGCCGCCTCCAAATCTCCAATTCCAAAAAGCGCTGGTTCGCCGCCTCTCTCCCCCTCTTGAACCCGGCGAAGGAAACAGAGAAAACAGAAGAATTGAACCCATCTTCGCCGCCTCTCTCCCCCTCTTGAACCCACCTCGTCAGTCGTCGCCTCCAAAAACCACCGCGACCTCGTCGTCTCCAAATCTCCAATTCCAGACAACGCCGATAAGACACCGCCTCTCTCACCCTCTTGAACCCACCTCGTCAGTTGTCACCTCCAAAAATCACCGCGACCTTGTCGCCTCCTATTCCAGACAACACCGATTGATTGTTGTTCTCCCAAGGTCACCGTTCGCGCCGCCTCCAATTCCAGACCCACCTCGTCGCCTCCTTCACGAAGGTCAGAAACTCGCTTTCCTCTCCATCATTTCTCGTCCAGCTCCATCAAGGAACGTTAATCACTCCATTCGCCCAAACCCACGAACTGAAATTTTGTTCGTTGCTTCTCCGTTCCGCCGTCTCAAAGGTTGAACAGGTACTTTCTAATCGAACCTCTTCCCCATTGTTTCACCATTGGAATTTCCGATTTTGTGAATTCTTGCAGTGAACTCTAAGCTCGAATGAACATTTAGTACTTTGGCTTGGAGCAGCCAAAATTTGAAGTTCTTGAATCAGACTTGTCCAGTTCCAATCTGAAGTACTAAAATCTCAGGTAATTTCCTTCCCCTTCCCCTTTCCAGTTGCATTTTGTATTAAGCAGTTGTTAGTCATGGTGAGTTGGTCTTTAATTTGATGAACAACTTCTGGGCTATCTCATGTTGGGGTTGAGAAATGGTAGAGTTTTGCAGATGGGTTCATTTCCAGTTTTGCAGATTTATTCAAAGTCTGTTACATCTTCTTTTTATGTGTATGGTGCTCCTTCATTTGTTCTTAGAACCATCATTCTGAACTGAATTATTGTTGCTTGAGGAGAATCTAATTCTTAAGTTGCTAGCACAAGGAAGGATCAGAGTTCACTTCAGTTTCTATTACTACCCTCCTATATGACATATCAGAGTGGTTGTGCATTCATAACTAAGTCATGAAGTTTCCCGTTGCAAATTGATTTGTAGTGTCAAATGAAGTTGTGCATTCATAAATAAGTCTGGAATTGGATTGATTTCAGGATGTCTAGTCAACAAATGAATGTTATGAGAAATGATGATGTTGGTAGTTCCGGAGATGAGGCTCATTTTGCAGCAATGTCGACGTTTACGGGTCGGACAAGTGTTCAACGAAAGCGACAAAGAACTTCTAAGGCATGGGAGACATTTACTTTTATCCCTGGGAATCAGTTTGCAGATAATATATCAAGAGCACAATGCAAAAACTGTCCCAAGCTTTATGTGGTTGGTAAAGGTATTTCTAATCTCACTCGTCATAGTTTTAAGTGTATTGGACGTGCAATTGAAGTGCCAGTGTCTAATGTTGGAAGCTCAAAAGCAATAGATCAAAATAGATTTAAGGAGCTAATGGCTATCATAAAACATGGGTATGAATTTGCAATGGTTGAGCATGGTGGACTTCAAGATGTGATGGCCTACTTGAATGATGATTTTAAGTCATTTACTCAGAATGTAATGCTGAATGTTTTCTGACCCAAACTTGATTGTGAATGAAGTTAGGGTCTTTAGTTTGCTTAGCCCTGTTGTCCTGTTAAGAATCAGGAAATGAGGGGAGTGCTGTTTGTTTTTGCTGCTAAAATTAATTGTTCTTCACTGGTAAAATGACTGATTGCTTCTGATGCTACTGGCTGCAGCTGATGATCATCATCATTGATCAGTGTAAACATGAAGAAGTGAAATGAGGTTGGGGAGTCACTAGTCAAATGATACTTGAAATACTAGCAGATCGACTTCAGATTCAAGTTTGTAAATAGTCAGTTTGTAAACTGTTGTTGGAAGAAACAATAGCAACAGAATCCTCCGATTCAGGGCGAGAAACAGAAATTCTGAAGCTCAACACCATCGCCGACAGCGACGGCGCCGGATTGAACAAGCTACAGTTTACGATCACGGTCCCGATGTCCTTCGCCCTCACGCCGGTCTTCTCCAACAGCTCGTCGATGGCGCCGAACATCTCCCATGTTTTCCTTTGTTTCCTTATTCTGTTTCCGGTCTTCTCCATGAGATGAACTCATCATGCTCTGCTCCGGGAGACTCTCGCCGCCGATCGAGGCAGGGATTTAATGGCATCGTAGAAGTCGATTTCGTTGCCGTTGAGTGTGAGCTCGAGGAGGGTTGCGGGAGGGATTCCGCCAGCGCCGTTGCATTCGTTTTGGCCCGTGGCGCAGTCGCCGGTGAGGCAGTTGAATTTGTTGGTGGTAGAGTTGGTGGTGCAGCCCGTTCGGCCCCAGATTCGGCCACTTGTCCAGTTGGGAGGGACCTGGAGGCTGGAGGTGTCGCCGACCGACTCATCATGCTCGCCGTCATTGCTTTGCCTCCGGCAGACTCTTGTCGCCAGCGATGACTGTTTCAGTGTTTCTCCATCTGCGAAAATCGTTTCCATTTTTTTTTTGTCAAAGAAAATAAAATATCATGGAAATATATACAGTTTGGTACCTAAAATTTTTATTATCAAGTTGCAGTATATAAAGTTTTCAAATTTGACATATTGATTCAATGATTTAAATGTCATTTGGATTAATGGATAATCCATCAATCCATTTTATCCAATCCATGGATCCATTAATCCATTTGATCCATGGATCAAACAATCCAATCCACTTATCCATGAATCAATCCATTTGCCACCTCTATCTGGAAGTACATGAAATGAAATGATTGAACAATGGTATAATCGGTTTGTGTCGGTCCATGCCGGTCTAACAAAATATATAGAAATATGAGAAATCAATACATCAAATGAAGTTTAAACCAAACTAAATTGGCTTTAGTTGGAGTTATTAGGACTAGGGCTGGGGAATTGGGTATGATTTTTTGGTTGAAACCAACCAAAATCGAACTTATAAGAATCTTATAGGTTTCAAGTTTTTTGTCCCGAATTAGTTTGTATTTAAAGATTTCGATTTCAATAAAAAAAACCGATAAAAAAACAAAACAAAACTCAAACCTTACTCTAATCAAAACTATTACAAAGGGTTCAATAAATTTCGATTTTCAATTTGTTCTAATCGAAACCGTGCCCGATAAGGAACTATATCCATTTTTTATTATTGAAAACTTATAAGCCCCTTGACGGGTTCAATTTCAATTTTGGGATAACACTATCAATTTTCTGCTATTTGAGACCAGCTAATTCTTGAGTTTATATTAATCCCCGAATCCCTCCAATTTTATCATATCAATTTTATCATAGCAGCTGTAGCCAACCACACAGACGGCTAACAGCCTAACACTATTGGTCATTACATTAAGACCAATCTGGTTTTGGTCAGCCAACAAATCAACTGATTCTCTGCAACCAACCACGAAAACGGAAACAAGATGTGCTTGTAAAGTTGTATATTGTATAAACACTCCAAGTGGTGGTTATAACTTTTCCAGTATATAATTTTCCCTTGCCAAAATAGCCAAACCTTCTCCACTACATTTCTTGGCCTGTTTTTTTCTTTTCTTTATACAAACAATACAAAGACCAGCTCCCTGATCACCAGCTCCTCATCACCATAGACAAAGACATGGAGTACGACAAAGTTGGCAGGCTGGGGATGGTCTGACACGATTCTCTTGTAATATATTTATATGGATACAAACAGGTCACAGGTAGATAAACCTAGAGCTATAACTGTAGCTAGTCACCTCTCTTAGTCCGACGCCCTCGACTCCTTCGTCTTCACATCAGAATTCTCCCCTTCTGTTACATCCCCATGATTCCCAGTGTTTTCACCCATCTGTCGCTAAGGGTTTTATTTTTATAGCTGTCTTATAGCGCACATAATGCAATCAAACCTGCAAACACAAGAATCACCATTGTTAGAATCCGTATTCAGTTACTTGACCAAAGAAACAACAACTGCAGTCCTACAGTCTTTGGCGTGACAAGTTCATAAAACTATTGCCTTCTATGAGGTAGATATAATACCTAGAAGAGAGAAAGAAGAAGAAAAAAAGACAGGTAGGGCAATGCATGTCACTTATGACAAATTGTAATGGAAGTTTAATAAGTTTCCTTCCTCCTACACAAAGGGTTTACCCCTATATAAGTAACTGAATCAGCACAGCTGTTTTGGAAGTGGACATGGTACCACACAGAAAATCATTCAAAGGGACCATTTAATTGGCAGTGTGCAATTCAAGCATTTCCCCTGCTGAGTCATTTCTGAACCTAGAGAGAAAACAAACGAGCGTCTCGAGACTTGTTTCAGGAAATGATCATCGGATCTATTCCGAGTTTCGGGATTAACTCGAGCATCAACAACAGCTCTTACGGCTATCAAGTAGCCAAGGGCTCTGTATTTTGCTGCTCTGCAACAGCACGCGTCCTGATGATCTCACATTGTTAATAAGATTACCTAAGCTGTCAAAATCTTCTTCAAGACCCTCAGCTACAGAGGGTCTGGGGCAGGCAAAGCATAGAGATGACATTGACATTCTAGGCTAGAAGTGTAGTTACATACAACACCTGAAACCTCATTCAGCAAATGCAAAATCAAACTAGAGAAGGGACAATACAAAGTTGAACATTTAAAACCTGGTACAACATCCTGAAGAACCTAAAAGCTCCACTAGATGGAAGAGCCAATAAAAAAATTGTTCCAAGAACTAGGTGGTCTATCAATATCAGTACACCAGGTGTATACACGTCACACGAGCTCATTATAGATTGCAGAGCACCGATCAGTAGGGAATAAATATCTTTCAACAGAATAAAATAATTAACAAGGCTAAGAGAGCACAAATGAATTAGCGTAACACCTATTTAAAAAAAAAGAAACAACTTCAAAACATGAAGGCCGACCCAGCAGCATGCATTACAAAATAAATGAAGAACAGACGAAATGTGGGGTCACTCACCAATAAAGCAGAAGAGAATGAAAATCCACAAAACTGATTGAATGGGTCGACCATACTGCATCTGATATTGGGATCTTTGAAGTTGTCTCTGTAATGCACCATACCAGCCATAAAGTGGCTTATCATAATATTCATCACAGCCCTCCAGACAGCTCTTGCTTTTCTCGTAGCATGAATTAATACCCTGTCCCAAACAAAGACTTAATCAGAACTAATGCCGACATGATCATACAGATAAAAGAGCAGGATCCGGTAGACAAATTCAACATAGAAAAGTTAGGCCAGTTCCTACTCACCCTAGTTAAATGTGATGAATGCAATGGAATAGAATCAGATTCTTCGTAACGATCCATTGCCTTCCACTTCCTAACACCATTCTTTGGCCATTTCAGTTTGGGCATAGCTTCGATGGAACTGACAATCACAGATAGACTAGGTATCTTCCTTGGAGGTTGCTGAGACTCTGCCTTAAAAGAATCCTGTTGGACTCCATCTACAGCAATCGGAATTGTCCAAGCGCTCATATCAGCACCTGCACTAACTGACCTCCTGTGCCCGTAAGACATCTCTTCTTTGGCGTCTGGGTAATCACACTCCACCGAGTGACTAACCTCTTTCGAACAATCATCAGGCGCTGCTTCTTCCACGGTCTTATCACTCCTATCACTTCTCATAGAACTATTTTCTCCGGACATTGATGATGGCCCTGAGAGAAATGCAGCAAGTTCATTTCGCTCACCTTCATCCAATGTCACCCAAGGCAATGATGCATCCCCTGAGGAATTGGCAAATTCCTTTAGCGAAGCCTCTACTCTAGAAATATGATGCTCGATCGCAATAATGAATTGACGGTGCCTTTCACTAGCACCATCGGTGGAGCTATTTATGTAACTGGATTTCACAGCCTTAGCAAACTCCTCCAGCTGCATAACCAAACTCGAAAATCAGAATAGACGTATCGAAACCAGCATCACCTAAACAGACACCCTATCCACTTTCCCATGAAGAGTGAGCATGAATTAGCAGGTTACCTGCCATTTGGTGGTGCCTAGGGTTGTATGTAAATCCCGGCGGAGTTCTTCTGCGTCCCACATAGTAGAACTGTCTTTCTTGGCGTGAACCCATGTTCTGTAAGTGGACTCCATCCTTTTCCACCGAAACAAGAACAAAGAAAACAAACAAAAAACAGAACCAAAACTCAGAAAATCGTATGGTAGAAACACTCAAATGTGGAAATTGAACTTTGCTATCCCCATCCCCAAAGATATTCCTGGGAGTAATCGACCATCATTTTCACACTGTTAGGCTAAACCCGCCCGAAACTTGTACTGAATTCGCTATCAAACGTAGCAAAACGTGAACAAACATCTCTTCTGACAAACCGAAGATAAATAAAACGGACTTTTCCTTCAACAACCCGCCAAAACCCGCCGGAGATGAAAATTTCTTCGATTAACGGTACAGAGCAGCTAAACTAGCACCAAACAAAAGGGCAAAAGATTAACGAAATGAATCAGGAAGAGGGTATACCTGTCGGCGGACTCCTGAACTTCCTCCGCGGCAGGGAAGAACGGATCCTTCTCCCATCGGTCAAAACTCGTTGCCATTTGAATTGAATTCGAATACAGGACAACAATCCCCCCTCTCAACCGGAAAGACAAAAAAGGACCGCCGGAGGGGAGTAAGAATTCGGGACAGCGACGGGCTTTGACCGGCAAAAAGGGAACGACAGAATAAATTAATGAGCCCTGGATAACAGGACACTCCTTTTCCTCCCTGCGAATCTCTCGGCGCCTTCCTTCGACGTCGAGCTCGCCGGGATCGAATAGAGATTCTCTGAAAAATCCGAAACGCAGGAAGAAAGGAAAGGAGAGAGAGGAAGGAAAGAGAACGTCCGGTGGTTATAGCCTTATAGGCAGGAAGGATTTTAAGTAATAAAAATAATAAAAAGGAGAGAACCAGGAAAGAGGGATTATTAGTTTTTTTCACTAATAAAAAAATAATAATCAGCGGAAAAATTAAGCGCGAGAAATGCTTGCTGAGAAATGACATAAATATATATATTTTTTTTAATTTACCATCAATATGGCGGATTAAAAAGTATTGACACAAATATTGTGTTTTGGAGAAAAAAATCGACTAGACCACCTGAGACTCAGGTGCTGCCGCTTTTGCTGTTTTTTTTGGATCGTTTTTTTAAGGCGACAGCGGCGGCGCCCAAGACTGAGGTGGCACCGCCTGAGGCATAGGTGAGTTGGTGGGAAATTTCCCCAGGTATTGGCGCCCAAGACTAAGGTGGCACCGCTAGCTTATGCTGGCTACCCCCCTATAAAACCAGCGAATTTCGTTTCAGTTATTCACACCACAAAAAAAATCGACCAAGATAGAGGAGAGCTCTAATTGCTGTTGCAAAAATGGCTAATAGGTAAGAGACACATTTATTTTTGTAATTATATTATTCAAATGCTATTATGATTGTGTTTAGTTTTAATTAGTGAGTTTGTTTTTCTGTAGTGATTTTAGAAGATTTGAACTAGTCGTTCGGTGGAAATCGGAGAAAGTAGAGGATAATTTGTGCGTCAAATTCGTTGGTGGTAGTAGTTTTCAGTTGACGGTTCCATCCAGGGTCACATATCACAAACTTTGTGAGAATCTAATTCCGAGAATACGGCATAGAGACGAAGCAGTACAAGATAGTGATGTGATCACAGATTTCACTTACCGTCTTCCAGAATGGCAGAATGGTGTTTTATTTCATTATGCGATACCTATTGTGGATGATGATAACATGAATGTGCTTTGAAATTTTATGGCACAAAATCCTTACTGTTTGGGTGCTGCGATACATGTTGAGCTCAGTGAGGATCAGGGTGGAGAGGAAGAAGATGATACATGGAGCGTGCCATCCGATCATGACTATGATGACGGTGAAGACGGAGAGGAGGAGAAGGAGGAGGAGGAGGAGGAAGAGGGGGAAGGAGAGCAGTTTAATTATCCTCCATATTTTTACTTGCAGGGTAATGAAGAGGACGAAGAATTATCACTTGTTGATTCATATGGCGTAATTCCAATGCCTATTGTTGCTAGTTTTGAAGGAGAATTCTACAAGGGGCAGATATTTCACTCGAAACAAGCTGCACAGATGGCGATTAAACACCACGCACTACAACGCAACTTTCAATATGGCGTGGTGGAGTCGTCACCTTCAATCTGGAAGGTCAGATGCTTGAGGCACAAGGATGACAATTGTCCTTGGATGGTGCGGTTTGGATGTCGAAATGTTGGAGGCGAATGGACTGTGAGAAAGGCTGAGTTGGTGCATTCTTGTAGCAGTACGACTCAACCGACGGATCATCGCCATCTTGATGTCGACATGATATTTGAGGCCGTCAAACATTTGGTACGTGCCCAACCAAATCTGAGTGTTCTAACTGTGCAGGCCGAGTTGAAAGATAAGTTTAATATGCAAGTTACTTACAAGAAGGCTTGGTATGGGAAACAAAGAGCATTGGAGAAGTTGCATGGAAATTGGGAAGAATCCTACGATTTTTTTGCAAACATTCTTGCGGGTGGTCAAGAGAAAAATGCCAACATCGGTGATTGATTGGGTAAGAGTTCCTTCGACTCAACCAGGTCATTCGATATTTTAGCGAGTATTCTGGGCTTATGGACCTTGTATAGATGGATTCAAGAATTTTCCAAGCGTCATGGTTGTTGATGGAACATTTCTTACTGGGAACTATAAAGGAGTGCTACTCATGGCGAACTCATTTGATGGCCGGAAGAAGATTTTTCCAATTGCATTTGCCATAGTGGAGAGCGAGAATACTAATAGTTGGTCATGGTTCATAAGTCACGTTCAGGGTTTGACTGATCGAAATGATGTCTGCATCATCTCAGATAGACATGCAGGACTCTATGAAGCCATGAATAACATCGGAAGAGGTTGGGAGTGAAGGTGGTGCATGCGACACTATGCAAGCAATTTGCAAAGGAAGGCTAAAAGCAGAATTATGCATAAGCAACTATTTCGAGTCGATAAGCCTTCTTCATTTAATTTTGTTATTTATTTTCATGTAATTTTGTCATGAATTTATCTAACCAATGTGGTTGTTTATTTTGTTAGCCGGAGAAAAACGCTTGGAGAAGTTCGATCGTCAAGTTGAGCAATTTAAGAAGGTGGCCACTGATAGAAATATTTCATGTGATAACTGGGTGGACCAACATCAGATTCGTTGGAGTTTAGCACATGATAACTACAATGGTCGGCGTCATTGGTCTATCCTGACATCCAACATGGCACAAAGCATTAATGGTGTTTTCAAAGGTATTCGTGCACTTCCTATAGCTTCTCTTGTGCAACATACCTATTGGCGATTGGTGGAGAAATTCGATAAGTACAGGTTGGAGACAGGAGCAGAAATTAGAAGTGGTCCTTCACAGTACTCCACCAAGTGCGAAGAGCTGATGAAGTCGTGGTCACAAAAGGCAGCTGGAAATTCCGTGACAGCTCTTGATCAACGTCAAGGCATCTATGTAGTTCAGACTCCTCCCAACAATTTCAACATGACGGGGTCAAACACACTCACAGTGCACTTTGACGACCACAACCGGGGCGGGATTTTGCATCTGTGGGATCAGGGTGTCTGCGCCGCTCCAAACCTAGAGTAGCAACCCCGGATGCCTTAATGTTGGCCAAGTCCTCACACTGGTCGGGTGTCAACCCTCCAGTCCGTACACCGTCACGCAAACTCACCTCAGCATGCTCAAAAGTGTCGTACTAAAAAACATAAAAGAATGTCAGATATTTCACACAGTTAACAAATTCAAGACAAATACAAAAAAATATTAAGCAAAAAAATCAAATAACTAACCAATGCCTCCGCTGCAGCTCCTCTCCGTGTACCGGAATGCCCGGTGACATCTCTATACCACTCCATATGCTCCGAGTGGTAGGCTAACTCCTCATCAGTGTATGGAGCCGTCGCTACGAACTCGTGTCGACGGTTCCAGAAAGCAAGTGACTCTATGGAAGCGTGTACCAACTGCTGCCCACGTGATGGCCCACGAGTAGTCTGACGAAGAAAAAACCTAACCTCAGCCTCGGGATGTGGCGCATGAGGCTCATGCTGCCTCATGCCAAACTGTCGGAGCATGCGGTCTGGATGGTACCACATCACCGATGAAAAGCAGATAAGTGGCACTACTGCTCGAAACGTCTCAGACTGTATCACACTACCTCTGAGATGAAGTGCTCTCTCAACGTAAGGTTTTTAGTTACACAAAAAAATATTAACGTTATTATCCCTAAATCTAAAAAAACAAATGAAAATTATTCTATAAAATGGAATGTTATATACTAACCACAACGGTGTCCATCGCGTCAAACCACAACTTGTATTGGAATAGCTGGTCACCATACTGACGAGTGTTGGTCGGAAGCCATCGAAGACCATGTGGGGATGCATCCTCGGAAATCTGTGCCCTCCTCTCTGAATGTCGCGGTGCCAGATGTGGGAATCGCTCCCACGTCCAGAGCTGTAGTAGAGCGACCCATCCACCAAGGTCAACGCGTAGAGAAGTGGCGGAATGCGTAATGTGCAAAGCCAACCTACCCATCTCACAGTACAGATAGGATAAAACAGCAGCTCCCCAGGCGAACCGTCCAACTCTCTGCCAATCCTCAATCAGAGTTAGGTACTGTAGGTGCACCGTAGCTCCAGACTGATCCGGGAATAGTACACCTCCTATCAGAGATAGAGCATATGCTCGTGCAAACTGCTCTATAACCTCCTGTGATGCAATTCCTGGTAGATGACTGAATTCATCCCTCAGCCAAACAGTCCTAACGACACCGACACCGCCTGAAAGATCAGTCGGAACCTGTCCTAACAGTCTCAAACAGATCACCGACCACTCCTCATCCGGTATATCAACTACGACGGCATCATCGTCGATCGCCAGACCGGACAGTGTAACAACGTCCTCTAACGTGATCTTGATCTCACCAAATAGTATATGGAAGGTCGACGTCTCGGGTCTCCACCGCTCTACGAGCGCAGTAATCAAACTCGCATCGGAGTTCATAGGGACCAGGGGCACGACACTAAACAAGCCAGTCGCTTTGAGATATGGCCGATAAAGCTCATGATACATCACTAAATTGGTCGTACCTTGAACATGATAAGATCGATCACCAGCCTATAGTGCACAAAACTTATATTAATTCAATTTCATTCGTAATAATTCTAATTTTCACCTAATAAATTCTAATCTATCTAATCTAATCTCAAATAATACTAATTTCAAAAAAATTGGTACGTAATCCTATTCTAATTTCAGTACAGTTCAGTTCACCAACTAAAATAATCTAATTAGCTAATTAACTTTACATGAATAATTATCAAATACTTACCTCGTTTGCCCAAACTGAGTCGATACGATATTGGTCATGTCCCCAAAGAAGTACCGGATCGATCGGAGTCAGATCAATTGTCGCCGGCGGTAGTCTCATCGAATAAGGGTCCATAAGCCTAGGAACTGGAAAAACAAAGGAAAGCAACAAAAACATTAATTAAAAAAAAACACTAAACATTAATTATAAAAA